TAGCACATCTTTTCTATTATTCTAGGTCAGTGCTTTCATTGCTTCCTCCACAGCAACGAAAATGTTATTTTCTCACCCAAGCTTCACAACATCAAAGAATACGACTGCCTTAATTTACCCTTTTTACTCCATCATCTAAATTTTAGATTCTAGGAAACAGTACGCAATACAACAGGGCAAAAGCAGAAGTAATATATTATCAAATTTTAAAGACACGGTTTCAGGTAATGGAATTGCATTACACAATTTATTCCTTCTGTGATTTTAATTGCATGAAGTGTACATGGGACAGAGTCAACCTATTTGGATTACTTAGATAGATTTCCATGTTTATAATCTCATGACATGTTCAGTCAAGGGTTCACTGCAGAAACTTGCATTACTGTTGAGATTTACCTCACATACAATGGGAAGTTGAATCTATTCTTTCACCATTTGGGATAAATGGAGCATGCAGTCTGAAGTATTTATACATATAAGAGGGAAGAAGAAAAGGGAGAGAATAATATTCAAATTATGTGATATATAAAGAGGGTTTCTGGAGAGAACTAAAAGAAATCAATGATGCTTTTTGTACTTGTACTCAGGTATTTCTTCTAGCGATGATTAGTGAAAATCCAGGAAATTTAAAGCTTTGTATTCCAATGTTTTAAATATTCACTCAGTAGTATAATAAAAATACAGATATGTAATTTCTCTATTATATATGTATAATACATATTTTTCTCCTTTTGGAAACCCATACGAACATGGTTTATATGTGTATAATATATTAGCTTTTACGATATTCTTCTCTAAGTAACTTCCAGTTGGAAAAAAGATCCTCAACAAACATTGTATGATTTCTATGCAGGAAACCAGTGTAGATATACTCTTATTCCAAACCCAACAAAAGAAACATTTAGTCACTGCTGAATCTACATAAAATTTACATTTTATCTTTCTGCCTTGGATGCTAATTAAGATGACTAACCATACAGTGACTTATTTAAACTTGTAAATTTATAATAAAATTATACATTAGGTTGGGTTCATACTTATGCCTAAAAAGAAGGAACATGATAACAATCTCCTGCATGTTAACAAATATGATTATTTTATTCCTGGAAAGTAATATTATCTAAAAGAAGGGACTTTAGAAATATTTTTAATAAATCATCCAGTTTGCCTAACAAAACTTTTAATATTTTCAGTAATGCTCACTCCTTAGCATTCTGAAAAACTTTCTCAATTTATTATTTCTATAACAGTAATATTCAATTTTTATTTTGTGAACAATACTTACAGCAGCTCAATTAATTTCAGGGCATAAATTTTGTTAAGCAGGCATTTTTCTGTTTAGATATGTTTACTTCTGATATTTACATATGACTCAAGGGACTTTGCAAGAAAATCATTTAATAATGTCAATGAAGCAAAACTAGTCACATTATCATTTTGCTTGTTTATTTGTCACTGAATTGTGTAAGTTCACTAGACACATGTACCCTAACTTAATGAATTATTTGAATTATTAATGAATTATTTGAGTATGTCAGTGATTCTTTTTAGAAACAGGAGCCTCACCCTGAGAGATGCATTAATACATTTAGGCTATAAAGTCCTATTTGCTAAAGTGGAGAAATCTTTGAGCAAATAGACCCCTGGTGGCTACTAACCAGTTTAACTGATATAGTTAACATACACATGAAGCAAGTAACTGATCAGTACAGAAATGAAAAGATCTGATATTTAAATAAAAGTTATGAATATCTAATTTATATTGTAGTTTTAAAATAGGAAAAATAGTGGAATATCAGAGAGATTTGAACTCAAATTATTTTTTCAAACACTTAATCAGATAAAGTGATCTAGGAAGTATCTTCACTTTCTGACTGATTCAAGATGGTTTGTATAATAGGAAGATGGAGTCAAATTGATTTATTTTGTTTTTACAGTGCACAGCTTTATAGTCAGTTAAAAGGTAACAAGAGAGATTCTTCGTATAGTCAACCCACTGCTAGTGTCTTTGTGGAAAAGTAAAGTAGTTCACTTATTGTTATTATTTTAATTTTACCCTGCTTATGTTTTAAAAAACCAGTGATGGGAGTGGGGAGAGGTTAAATCCATTCTTTCAACCCTGAAGGATTTTAAATAATTTGGTAAAATAGATACACAGCACTAAAATGTTACTTTGTTAATGTATTTAATTAGTAACATTATATAAAGGTGAAAATTTGGCCCTCTATAAAATAACAAATTTCAAATAATATTAATTCTATCTGCCCTTAAAATGAAAATTACTAAGACAGACCTCTCAGAAGTAAACATTAATCATATTATTTTTCTGTGTATAGAAAATCACTTATATTTTATACCAATCTTCCCATAGATATATCCATATAATGTCCCGTGTTTTCAATGTTCAGCAATTGACAAGATGTTTACACTTGTTTTACCTATCAATAAAACTACAAATTAAGACAATATCCTTAAAATGATCATAAGAATAACATTTGGAAAGCTGACATTTTATTTATCATCAATGGGATGACTTCAGTATTTGAAAATTATTGCAATTTATTACCAAGAAAAATGTTTAATCACCACAACTATAGGCTATAAAAAGCATTTCATGAGCAATTATTAATTCATATCTGATAAAAAGAAATCCAATCACACCCTCTCTATAATCTTGTTTTGAAAGACTTCCCCAATTTTTACTCAATTTAACCTTTAGATAGTTTTTTATCTGAGTGTATTGTTATGCAGTCTGTATTGCTAGAAAGAGGGCAATTCAAAAAGTTTATAGGAAACAGAATTTAAAAATAAGTTCATTTTGCTATAAAAATGTTCTCAAATACATGCATAATTTTTTTCATAATATATACTATTTTCCATGAATTTTGAAGACCCCCCTTTGTACATTGGTATGTATTTTTAATACATGACCTTTAATGATTCTATTTTACTGATAGAAAAACAGTGTAATTCTCATGCACTAACATAACTTCAGTGAACTGACAAAAACAAATAAGCCATATATTTTTACATGTTTTAGATAAAACATTGAGTAGTATAGGGAAATCTTTAAAATTGATAAGCAAATAAAAGTTACTGCAAGAGGCTAACAAAAAAATCAGTGTTCTCAAATTTACTATCTGAGAGGTCAAACTTTAACAGGATGCATTTTGATAGAATGGCACTTGACAACTTTAGAGATTCATATACATGTTTTATATATTAACATCCACAGGGCCTACAGGAGTTACTGATGTACCATAAGTACTTAGCAAATAATGATTGATTTAGGAAAACATTGCATGGGAATAACTGTTAAAAACTTGTGAAAAACTTGACTCTCAAGGTATATATCTCTTTAACATCCCCAGGTACTAAGATAAAGCACAATATAAATGTCTAACTTACCCACTATTAAAACTGTTTTCTCTCCTTACAAAGTCCAGTAAAAATTTACATGTTATTTTTAACAATTTTCTATATTCACTAAATTAAAGTAACTACCGCTTTGATATTTAATAGCAATATTATTTGAAAACAAATGGGGGATGTGGTGTAATGGGGTGTGATGGTATACACCATCATAGGGGAGTTGGGCACTACAGCTGGGGTGTGATGGTATACACCACCATAGGGGAGTTGGGCACTACAGCTGTCACTTATTATGTGACAAAGCTTCTTCTCATGTGATACAGCCTCAAAGTCATTAGGGTTATCTGTGCTTTCCAAATTCACATATGCATTTTTGATTGGAGTCTGCTGGGTAAAAAACAGTAAGTTTTAGGAAAACCTGCTACAACTATCACTTGTATAAATGAGAACAGCTAAGCACTGATTCTGAATAGTCGCATTTCTAGATAAAATGCTCATGTATTTATGACAAAAAAGGCTGTGTACTGTCTTACTTGCCTTCTCCCTTCATCTTCCCCTCACACAAAAAGTACCCACTTCCAAGCCATCTCACCACCATTTTTTCATCTACAAATTATTTCGAGACCCTGAAACATGTCTTAGAAATAGTAACTACAATTAACCCAACTGTTTCACAGATGAGGTCCTTAACCACGTGACCTACTAGGTGACATGATGGTGGACATCACAGCACCAGTGAGAGCACCCAGCCAGGTACATGCTGCGAAAACTTTTATGCCTGCTCACAACAGTTCAATAAATTTAGAATATGGAAGTGATCTATTATAAATCATTAATTATTCATAGCAGAAATCCAAAGAGCTGCATTTCACAAAGATTGTTTGAATAAAAGAAAAAATATTCAAATATTTTAAGTGCTTTTCATCACTTTTCACACACTACTCACTTTCTCCTCAGTTATCCACCAAAAATATCTGTCAGTGACTTGACTTCAGAAAATATTCACAACTTGGAAATTTACACTTAAGACTAATCTACTCTCCGACTGCAAGAAAAATAAACCACAACACGGATTTGCGGGCATCAGCTCTTGCAATAATTTCGAAGAAGTCTACAGAGTGGCCTGGATAGTGCATGTGGTACGGAGGCTGAGGCTTATGCAAGGGCGGCAGAGTTACCCAAGATGAAAAGCTGATTATCAGTCGCAGGATACAGCTGGAGCGACTTGCCTTGCAATAAGGCATGTGGGAGAAGCCACACGTTACCCTGTGAGTGAGTGCCAAGAGCCAGAAGTCTCCATTAAGTCTGTGAAACGGAGGCTGACCTCCGTGGAGACAGCCAAAGGGGAGCGCTCCTGTGGCCGCCAGCGGTGGGACCCACGTGCTGTTGATGCTCACGCATCCGTTTAAAGAATTCTAGAAGCAATAGGGATCAGCGCTCCTAGGGCCGCCGGTCCCAGGCGGTGTAGACAGGGTGTACTGATGAGGGGACAATCTCGACCCGCTCTTGTGATGAGACCCCAGAGCACGACCTCGGGACGAAGTTCCCCGAAGGAAATGACCAGCGCACCCACCAGTGCACCCATCGCTCCCCTTCACGCCCCCTCCTTCTGTGCCCCGTCCCCTTACCTTGGTTGTTGGAGACATGACTGCAGTCGCCCGGCCAAGCTGTCAGCAAAGGCAAGAAGAAACCAAATTGCCAAAGAAATTCCCGGACTTCGCAGCCCCCCATGGCTCTCCCCGACGCGCTCCTCCTCCCCCTCAAAAAGAAGGGGCAGCGGCGCGGCCAGGTGTTGTAGGTAGCGTAGGGGTCCTGGTCCACGTCTTCTTCCTCCTCCTCCGCCTCCTCCTCCACCCGGCCCGCAGGGGGTGTCCCGGGGCGCCCCCCGTGCGAGGCCCCGAGCCCAGGGCACGAGGGTCCAGGCTGCCCAGGTGCAAGTGCAGCTGCTTGGGAGGACGACGCTGCCTGCAGCGCCGGGGAGCTCCTGGCGGCTGGAGGCGAGCGGAATTGCATCCACCACCGTGTCCCGCTCGCGCGAGGACTATTCACTTGGGCCCGGGAGAGCGTGCGCGCAGGAGCGAGCTCGGGCTGGGGTTTGGGGGAGGGGAGTCGAGGGCGGGGGAGGGCGCCTCGCAGCGGCGATGGGGGCGGGGGGAGGGACGGCCAGGTAGGGGCGGGCAGTCCACTGGGCGGCCGGAGCGCCTCCGCGTACCGAAGTGTGCGGTTGCAAGAGCCCAAAGCCAGGGAGGCGCGGGGACCTTGGGAACTTTCCTCCGGCCGGTACAGGGGCAGCAGGGCGAACCAGGCTGGCTGGAGAGGTCACGAGCGGTCCGAGGGAGCAGCGGGTCCCAGGGAGCTGCGGCGGGAGCCCTCAGCCCCTCGCCGGAGCGGCTCGCATCGTGTACACATCCGACTCGGCCGCAGCTGCGCCGCGTCCCAGCCGTGGCAGCCGTTTTCCGGGCATCTCTGAGGTCGCACTCAGTCTCCCGGAGCAGCTAGTCCCCCCTTCCACGGCTGCAGAGCCCAGTTTTAAGACCAGCCAGTTCCCGACACTGCCGCCCCCTCACTTCTCCACATGTCCACCGCTGGAGTAGGGGGGTAGGGGGGGTGCGCGCCGTGGGGCCGGCGCTGCCGGTGCCCGGGTGAGCTGGCCGGCGGCGGTCGAAGCCGACCGCTCCTCAGCGCGGGTCCCCCAAACTTGCCCACTAGGGCGAGCGCCTCGGCCCTGTGGCCGCCTCCGGGGCTTCGAGTCCTAGCGGCGCGCAGACAGGGAGGGAGCGGCAGCAAGGAGTCAGTCACATCCAGCTGGAAACGGGCGGGTGCCTGGCGCCGAAGCTCGCCGAGGAGGTCTTGGCAGCGCCGTGAGGCGGTGACTTCGCGGCGGAGGTCACGAGCATTGTCGCAGCCGTAGCACCGCGATTCCGGGGGCCCCGAGCGCCCGTGGCGCGACACCGTCCGACCGCGCGCTCGGAGCTGCCCAGGGGTCCCGCGGCGCGTGGCCACATCGACAGCGGCGCCGAGTGCGCTGCAGGCGGACAGCTCTCTCCGCCCGCGCCGCCCCTGCTTGTCTCAGCGCCCACTCCCTCCCGGGGCTCGGGTCGCTTGAAGCTGCAAAGCTAGCTACTTGGTGGAAGCCTGCAGCCCCCGCCTGCGGCCTGGGGCCACAGGGCGTGCTGCTGACGGGCTGGTGGCTCTTAGTGTGCGCTGTCCCCACGCCCTCGCCCCGCGGTAGAGGCGGGCGCAAGAGGGCAGGGCGGTAGCTGCGAGCGCCGCTGAGCCCGGCTGAGCCCGGCGCTCTCCCCGCCCGGCAGCCGCGGCTCGGTTGTCGCCAGCTCGGCGCTAGAGGGGGTTATTCGACAACAAAATCCCTCCGCCGCGCGCTGTGGCGAGCAGCGGTCCGCGCAAGGAACCGAAGGCGGGAGGAATGGTCTTCCGTGAAACTTAGCGGGGCTGTGAGGGCCGCGCACGGGCACTGTGTCGCGGGTGGGGGGCACTCTGTGATGTGGTGGTGGTTCTCCTCGTTAGCATTCTCGTTCTTGAGGGGATTTAGGCCGTCCCACTCGACTGAGGTTGAGCCCCCTCAGCACTCACAATGGCAATGGAAAACAGTGAACCGAGGCGAGCACGCCACGGTCCGATAAAGGGTGGACGGTATTTTCCACATGGGCAGGGGGCAAGGATGGGAAATGGCGAGGCGGTGGGGGTCTTGGGAGAGTAGAGGACGTTGCAAGGGGTCAGCCAGCGTTTGAAGTGCTCGCAGTGCTGGGAGCGAAAGGACCTCCCCTCGGGTGCGTGTTGGCGCTGCGATGTCTGTGTCACGTCCCGTAATTGAAGCGGCCTCAGCTCGTGCCTTAGAGGAGGCCTTAGGAGGGAAAGGGGAGAGCGAGGGGCGCCCCGCGTCTAAAACCCACTGCGTGCACAGGAACGTGAAAGGCAAGTGACTCCAGAGCGTGAGGAAGCATTCCCATTGGTGACTGTACTTTTCCCTCCCATTAGGAATTCAAACACTGACTCCCTTTAAAGGTGCCCGTGCCATTTTCAATATATGCATATCACCTATAAAAAGATAATCCTACACGGAGTTTGTGTATTGGTATTAAGAGCAAAACCTAATTTTACGATTCACTTTACCACTCTTACCACATAGGCATTAGCGAACTCAGTTTACAGATTGTAAAACAAAAAGGACTGTTGTCCTTTTTAATGAATAATTATTCCTAAATAAATAATGTTTTTAGAAATATTTCAGGATTTATTATGCTGAGGTTTTGACTCATTACTTTTTGTGTACTGCCAATATATTTCCATGACATTTTTATATTAAATCTTTTTAAATTTTACTTATAATAATTCTATAGGCTTTATATATAACTCAAGATAAACTCTTGTTCAGGATACTCTTTGCTAATACCTAAGATATACTACATTCTGATAAACTGAAGGAATCTATAATACTGTATCTTAGAAATGTGAACCATGTTAATTTATTTCTGAAGTTGATTTTCAAATTAATTAGAATTGCAAGATTTTTAATGGAACATCACCAAAGTTGAGTTATTTCAAAATAACCCCTTGCATAATATATTTTAAAATCAAACTTTAAACCAAGTTGTGTTTTTCTTGTGTGAGAATACCAAGAACACTCAAAATTAGACTTCACTCAAAATTGGACTTGAAAAGAATGTTCTAATAAAAGGAAGGTGGGAAGGAAAAAGGAAAGGGCAAAATAAAAGCTAAGTTTCATTTCTAAGACTCACAGTTATATGGCAAGATTTCATGAATTAACATGATTATTAATTTCAAAACATGCTTAGAAAAGGAGTTACCAAATCATTTGTGTTATACATTATTTATATGTGTATATATATATAGATATATATACATGCAGAATGTGTGTGTGTTCCATCTAAAATATTTGATGAACTCTGTGCTCAATTTTCTTCACTCGAGGAAGAGTTAATAGTAAACTGTATGAGTAAAATATGTTTCATAAAGCTAACACTATTTAAAATATAGACATGGTTATTTTTTGTGTGCTAGAAGCAATTACACTTAACAGAAATATACTTCTTTCTGATTTTCTAGAAGTGTTGATGTATTTGCTGACATGTCACAGTTTCAAAATTATAAGCCACTCAATGAACCATATGCAATATTCATGTAGATTTATCTGCACTTGTCTGTTTGAATCATAACCATATTCAGAAAAGCATTCATGTCTCATTTTTCAGTGGTATATTGTTCAGGGTTCTTTTTGTATTCTTTCAGATTACTGTTCTTCATGAATTATATGATCTGAATTCAGGTAAGAAATGAATAATTTTTTATTAAATAAAATATGGTGCTAAAACTCTCCCAAGTTTCATTTGTAGTAAAAATAATAAAAATCAGAAATACCATTTTTTAAATGATAAAAAGAGGGGAGACTTAACCTTCAATTAATTTCTTTGAGAATAAAAAGCATTATAATGTCTAAGACTCAGCATATTTCCAAGCTTGAGAAAATCTTAAGTATGTTATTGTGGTAGAAGAGTAAACTAATTAATTTACAGCGATAATTTGCATTCTGTAGGTCAAAGTAAAAAAGACATAAATAAAGAGTATTGATTCTGGAGTATGTCAAAACATTTGGTCTTAAAAGATTCATGGTACTTTGAACAGACATAATTGCTTAGGTTATTGCTGTTAATATAAAATTAAGAGAAATGCTGCAGGCAATAATATTGTCATGTCACCAACTTTAAAATATAGGTTAGATTATTGACTTGTATGCAACAGATAAAGTAAAAAAGAAAAATTTCACAAAGTCAAATATAATTTTTGAATCTTTATTTTTAGGAAACAGGTATTTAGGAAAAAACACATACCTGTTTACTTCAGGAATTTTGCTTTGATATTAGTTAACTTTTTTTCCAAAAGAGATATTCAAAATACTGTTGAGTTTTTTTTTTATTGTTGGCATGTCAAATCTTAAAAACCTTACAGAAAAAACTTGCAGCTCTAAGTTTCAGAAAATTTACTACTGTTGATTCTCCTGTAGTAATTATGTTTTTAATTGGGTTCTATGATATTTTATGGTAAAAGAAATGTGTGTACACATATCATATACATGTAGATTTATGTGTGTGTGTGTGTGTTTATGTAATTCAATGAAAACTTTCTTGTTCTTTTAAAATTAAGGACCATTTTCCAAGCAAGATTTGCATGTCCATTTGTGCTGAGCAGTATAGGGAAGGCGCAGAGATTATTCGGGTGTAGTTTCTATCTCTCAGAAGTTATATTATATTGCAGAGTGGAGAAATACAGGTTATTACATTGCAAATCTTTCTGTGTGATCCCATGATGGAATTCCAAATTATTGTGGTTAGGAAAGAGAGAAGGAAATGTACTCTAACTTTTGAAGATGTGGGTTTCTACCATTGCAGCTTTAGCTTGATTTAAACTAAAATTTTCATTCAGATTGATTCTGAAGGCCAATGCATGGATTTTATTAGTAATAAATACAAAACTAAAGGTCATGCACAATGACCAAATAATATAAGTAGATTCAGCTAACTTCCATTTTTAATGAAATTGACTTAATAGTCTGTGTGGCATCAAGTACCACAAAAAGTGCTTACAGCTAAACTATGTAGAGATTTTTAAAAATATGCTGTAATTTATTTAAATTTATTAATAACATATGCTTTAGTTTATCTTTCATGACACAGAATGACCCCTTTTGTCTAAACAACTTTGTTTTTATTTCATTGAATTATAATAAGTACCATTAAAGAGCATATTCTAAATATCAAGCAGTCAAAAGTTGATGGTAGAATTAATAATATCTTTAAAAACCTTTATATTATTAAAGTGTATCTGATTATTTTCATCATAACAGAAATTTCAAAAGTCTAGTCCAAATGCATTTTATATTTTTCTTGTGTTATGCTTACGTAAAGACACTTTATTCCCTGCTTCAGTGAAAGGCAAAGCTAGATTCTGCAAAAAGAACCCTTGGGTATGTCAAATAGTCAGATGCTAAATTTATTAAAGATACTACACATGTGAATAACAACATCAGCTTAACATTTTTAGTCATATTATATCAATAATGCAAAACTTGCTCTTTTACTCCAGTCAAACTGGGGTAGATTCAAAGTGTCACATGGGGAGAAATGATTCCTTAAAGTTTGACTTTGTAGGAAAAGTTATTTTATAAAATGGTTTTTACAATGTTTAAGTATAACTTACAATCAGGTAACTTTGTTTGCATTTTTGAGCCTCCATGGATTTTTGTTGTTGTTGTAAATTAAACTTTAAAGAGCAAGTCTTGAGAGACACCTTATTATATTCCAAGTGATCTCTGACAACTCCATAAAAATTCAATATGCCCAACATTTACTTTTTATTGTAAGGGGTTTTATATCTCTGCGTTCATAGTATTTTTCTTTTGCTATGGCTATAAAAATGTTTTTATGAAATAGAAATGTTTGTCAATACCATCTTATAATTATTACAAGACTAAAAGTATTTTCAAAGTAAAATTGTGCTTTCATAATCATTATTTTTACTTCTTTGTCAAACTGTCCATCTTTGTTAATTTTTTCAGAAAGACTAGTTTAGTAAATATCTCAGCTATACAAATATATAATTTTTCCTCATTTTTAGAAACCATTAAGCATTTCTATAACTAACATTTGATCTGTTTGTAAGTTCTTACATATGTTACAGACACCTTTGCAGAGGCTGCATTGTTATGAAAATGGTCTTTGGCTATTCAGCAAAATAAATCTAACTATAGAACTTAGGTTAAATTCCCCTCGTCTTTCATTGTTAAATTCCATTCAAAGTCCATTGGGTTAAAAATACACACTACAGTTCATAGTATTCAGAATTAGGTTGTAACATATTTGCTGCTTTTCTAGGTGAAAATAAAATTTTCTAATATACAAAATAATAGAACACAAACACTAGGTTGGCTTAGATTGGCATTAATTTATAGCCAAAGATTACTCTATATTTATTTGCTACTGATTTATTTTGCAATATGGTTTGAATTATATAAAGAACAGGAAGTATACTTGCACTTAATTTTAAAATCTTTTTATACAGTGGGGAAAATAAAGTTTCTTGATCATTTGGAATATGTATAATTTCAACAAAATATTAAGATTCTATAATATTTATCTCAAATATTTTAACACTGCCTAATAAAATTTTCCGCAATAATAGAGATTTTGTGTTTGTCCTGGTGGATATAGTAGCCGTTGGTTACAAGTAGCTTTAGAGTCTGAATGCATTTAGTGTGAGGAGCTGAATTTTTAGATTTAGTAATTTTAATAAATT